GGATTGGTTTCTACTTTTTAACAGACGAAGAGATTAACGCAATTTTACTACCCATTATGTCTTCTATTGACAAGTCATACATTAGTGTGGATGTGGAAGAATTGATGATTGATTTTTCTTGATTGATTGTATCTCAGACTGTAAACGTATTTCTCTCATGTTCAACTAGTCAAGATAATCAATCATATTTTGCTTGTCTTATTATTTCGACATTATTCGTAAGTCCACCGTCTTCAACTGTTAATACATACATAGTTTATCATTTGCATCCATTACCAATTAATACGAATGGCAATAAATATGTATATACGAATCTATCAGAGACATTCGGTTTCAATGCAATCGATCAAAGCGTGATAGTGTGGAATGATAAATCAGAAGAATATACATGCATTTTCTCGAAAATTGTTCAATGTTCTGAAGAGCCAATATCAATATCACTGTTAAATACACCATGTCTAATTGAACTTTTTAATACCGACTCAATTCAAACGAATTCTTGTGAAATCGCTCGAACTCCTAATACAGAAACTGGAATTTTTAATGTTGCACATGACATACGCGTTTTCAATAATATCGAGAGAACTCAATATTGCAAGCCACAATCATATCCAATTAAATCAAACGATATCATTATCATTAACGAATCTACCGTTGTACAGCTACCTTGTGGAACAATCGTTAAATGTTCCGGTGTCCAAATACCATCGTCGAAATGTACCAACAAAACAGTATTGGTTAGCTCAATACTAACTGGAACTTAGGAAAAGCAAATGAATTTCCGAATCTCTCTGAGAAAATTAACAACCAAACTCATCTCTGCCTACAAAATCAAACTGCGAGATCTTCTAAATGAAATGCAACAAGACGATGGCGATAACATTCCAACCATGAAACGAATAATGCAAAATTTTGTCAACTTAATACAATATCTGGTTTGGCTTCGTATTCTAATAATAGTCCTGACCGTAGAAAATTATATCAAGATGAAATTACAAAAGCAATTAAACAGAGTAGAAAGAAATGTAAATAAACTGTCCGACATCTTTCTAACTGACGACAACTCGGCTTGAAAAAACTTGACTTTTTGTTGCTATGCTGATGTAAAATTATCTCATACTATCTCCGTCATGTAGATATAACTTCTTTTGATTTGAATAATTTTTTTCTATGCCATTAAAAAAATTCATCCATTACACTTTTCATGCTAGATTTTATTGATTTCAAAAAGAAACAATGAAAACAATATACGAACACTCAACGAATACCGAGTAATGTAAAGTTTTATTGATTTTCATACTTGAAAAGTTCGATAAAGTGAAATTGGTTTGGTTGAAGCGATTTCTTATTGTATCTAAGGTTCAATTATCTTCTTCAAGCTTTCTATAGTTCTTTGTCAAATTTTCTGATGTTGGAATTCAATACGAAAATGCTAATTTTCTATTATCACTGTCTATAGTTCATTTCTCTTGTCCAAAGTTTCTAAAATTACTCATTAATCCTTAAAAGCTCAAGAGGGTTGTTCTTGCAACAGAAGGAAGACAACCATTAAAATAGAGCTGATTTATACTCAATATGCTCACACTATTGCTAAAACAAAGTACTCTGCTCTTCCTCTAGAGTTGCATAGCGTTCTTTATCAGAAATCTCGAATCTTTCAAAATAAAATTGAAAGAAAAGAATTTCGATGTGAAGTTCTGCCCTTAATCAGTTTATATGATCCTGAAATTGTCCTGAAATTTTCAGTCAAAAGCGAGTTCTTCTTTGTTAAAATATTGAGCGTAGAAAAAAATTGGCAATATTTTGAAAAAGCTCATAAAATTCAGATTCTCTTCAACGTGCCGTATTTCCTAGAATAAACAATAGTTTTTTCTGAAAATTTCAGGGCAATCTAAATAGCGTATCAACTATATATATTATGTGATAGTATCCTGTGTTAGTAGAATAGTTTAAAGTTTACGAGATGGTTTCATCAAATACCTTTACACTATGTCTAACAATATCGCTTAAAAAACCAAAATCGCACGTCTCTTATCTGAAGAAAAAAAACTTCAGAAAAGAAAAGTGATGCTAAAAGAATTACGAGTCGTAAAAGGTTTATTATTCGATTTAAGAGTCATTGATAGTTATATTTTCATCTCTGTATGATCACTAAGGTCATGTCAGTTCAGACAAATGGTGGTTTTCCATATAAACTATTGTACGGAAATTTATTGAAATTATTCTAATGTCTCTCAGAAGAGACACTGAGCTTTTAAGGGTTAAATTTCCTCAAGTTAGTAATTAATTTTATTTGTAAAGATTTCAATACAGAAATGAATTCATAATTTTGCCCTTATTGTCTACAATCGTATGCTTTGATTCAGAGATCTTGCAAATATAAAGTATTGAAAGAATTTAATTAGAAACTCCCTCCATCATTACTTGTGATTCTACTTTGTATCATGAATGTCTAACTTATGAGAGTAAGATGGTTGGCCTCTTTTTGATGATTCAAATGGTATGGAAACGAAGACTTAATATAATCAAGTGAAATAAAAAATACTCGAGAAAATAAGATTGACTCTGCATATTGATTATGACCCCCACTTGGTATAAATATCAGGATTCACTTGATATCGAATTTTTTAAAAACTCGCTCCGTTGACATAGATACATTCGATAAAAGAAAATAGATTGACTATGATTACAGTACAATGGAATTAGGAAAAATAGAATCGGGTGCTCTTGTAGAAATGAACATAGAGTGCACTGTTCGACATGACTCATTTCGTAAACAACAAAAGGAAATAAAAATAGAGGTCGTAGCTTTCATAAAATTGGTGTTGACTAACGGTTAGAAATAAAATACTCATATCTTGAGTTGAGATTCTCAATACTTATTTTTTGATATCAGCTATTTTGTACGAATTTTTTTTATGTATTAATATATCTACTTAGGGCAATCCAAAAGTAGTGGCAGTGGTACCTCTATCCTTTATAACAAGCTTAAAGAAACGTTCTCTCTACATAATCTGATAGAGGAAAGAATGCTCTATTTTTCTATGCTATTTGATCATTGTTTAATTAATATCATAATAATAAAATTTCGATAAGATCTGTTTTGTTCGCATGTGTCAAGGTTACCTAATTTTCTAGTGAGTGTTTTTTGAATAACTTCTGATGGATACATCATAGAGAAGTGCGGGTTTCACCGTTGGAAAGAGAATATGAAGATGCATCGAATAGTATATTACAGGTTTTTCTAATCTGGATTTCTGAAGTATTTTTTTTAATTTTCTAACTGTCTCAAAAATGTTTTTTTTTATGAAGAAAGGAAAAAGCACAAAAAATGAGCTTATTCACAGACTTTGCTAGAAAATCATATTAAATGCTCGACTACAATTCACATTGTTCATGTCAACCTTCCGCACTCTGTAGATCTTCGATTAGTGGTTTGAATTTACACTTGATAATTGAAAATTCACTGTAAACAACTCCCTAGATAGGTTTGTTCTTAAAAAGGTCGATTGAAAACCTTACAAAAAAAAACAGATCAGAATATCCTGGAATAAACGATTCGATGCGTCTTCATCTCCTCTTTCCAATAGTGAAAACCACGATTCTCTATCTTGTTTTTATCAAAAGCTATTTGAAAAATACTCATTCGTATTTTCTAAAATGAGCATTGTTATAACCAGCTCATACGATAACGATACAGATCTTCTCGAAATTTTATTATTATGACATTAATTAAACAATGATCAAATAGCATAGAAAAATAGAGCATTCTTTCCTCTATCAGATTATGTAGAGAGAACGTTTCTTTAAGCTTGTTATAAGGAATTGAAGTGCTACAGCCACTACTTTTGGATTGCCCTAAGTATTTTGCTTTCTATTCTATTCTCAATCAATCAATCAATCAAGAGTAATACCTAGATAGTTTCTGAATCTTTTACAGATAATTTAGACGATAAAGAAGTTAGAAATGGAATACCAATGATTAAAGAGCATTGCTTATCGCAAAACTTTTTTTTCTGAAGTATTGTTTGTATACCATTTCAATTTCCTTTTGTTACATTCGGGATCTTTATGTCGAACTGTATACGAAGTTTTTGACATGATCAATAATGATACTTGTTGAATTAAGTTTATGAGACGTTACAATCAGGGAAAAGTAGTGGGAACCACCAGCGATATTAAAGAATAATTTATTTATAATATAATAGCTGCTAATAGTTTTGAAAAATAAGACTTCACGTACTGATTTGCTTTAATATCATCATTAGAGATTATTTTAAGATATAGTTCATTGCTGGCATTTTACCTAAAAATTATTGTCGAAGAAAAGAAAACTTGATTTAATTCTTGTGAAAAAATCACGAGAACGGAGCACAGAGAGAAACTCAGTCATGTTTTCGTTGAAACAATTTCTTCCATATTGAGAAACTGAAGCTTCTCTAAATGATAATATTGTTGCTAATTCTAATATATTTTGATTCGTTAATTGTGACCTATGCGCACACC